GCTGCTGGCCACAGGGATGCTGTCCTGAGGCTCTCTTTGTGTTTCCCTCTGGCAGGAGTGACCGGGCCCGGTGGATCTCGGCGCTGATGCACAGGGAGAAGGAAAAGCCTGACACCACTCCCAAAGGAGGTACCTGTGCCAGAGGGCAGTCTGGCTCTGCTGGGATTCCCTGTCCCACCAGAGCATTTGCAGGCCCAGGTTTCTACCTGGTTCTCCTCCACTCCTGCCAGTGGAGAGGCAAACGCCACACCTTGCTCCTCAGGAGTTGCCTCCCATGAAGTTATCAGTGTCAATTGACCTTAAATACATTTCCTGGGAGGCACGGTGGAATTCCAGGAATGCCTTCAGCTGTTGTTAGAGGGCTTGGAGGGGTAAGGGGCAGGGACAGGAGGGAATGGAGCATGCTGTGCTGTCGAGCACTGGTGGGCAGCTGTGGGGGTGATGACTGAGCAGGGGGCTGTGCCTGCTCACTGTCCCTGCTGTCCCCTGTCCTGCAGACCTGAGCCAGGTGGAGATCACCCGTGCCTACCTGGCCAAGGAGGCGGACGAGCTGTCCCTGCAGCAGGCAGATGTTGTCCTGGTGCTGGGGGAAGAGGACGGTGAGTGCCAGGGAGTGCGGGGCTGGGTGTGGGGCAGGCTCTGACCTCAGCAGAGCTGGGCAGGGGGAGCCTTCAGTGATCCCTGGGGACTGGGTTTTAGCCATTGCAGAAGCTTCCAGGAAGCCCTGGCTGCTGGTGAGACCCGTGGCACTGGCTGGTGCTGTGTCCCAGCAGGTGACAGTGGGTCCTGGGGGCTGAGGGAGGTGGCACTGCAGTGGGCAGCTGTTGTGTTCCACACAGGGGTGACTCCTGTGTGTGCAGACTGTCACTGGCATCAGCAGTAGAAACTTCAGAAGTGAGAGAAAACACCCCCAGAACAGGCAGTAAATCAGAAAGCTCCTCCCCTGCCATCCTGGTGATGCTTTCTGAAGGCTGACCTAGAACAGAGCTAAAGGATAAAGTAGGGATTTATTAGGAGGCCTCAATGGATCCACCTTGGGCAGTGCAAGAGCCCAGCCAGGGCTACAGCCCAGGTGAACCCAAAATGGTCAACCAGTCATGGGGTCTCTCACTTTTATAAGTTATGGTCCATTTGCATATTGGAGTTAATTGTCCAATTCCAACTTTAACCCATGAAGTCCCACCCTTCTTGTTTTCCTGTCTTCAGTCTTGTTTATGCTCTTGGGCCTGAGATTTGGATCATTTGTCCTTGGTCCCCAGCTGGAGCAGGAATTGTTTTGTCTCTGCTCTGTGCAGAGAGCTCAGCATCCCCTAACATGAAGACCAGACCCAGACACTGAAGAGAATTTGAAAAACATAAAAACTGAAACCTGAGGCATCACCTGGCTACCTCTAGCCAGCACCCCCAAGGGAGGGGAGTGGTGCATCCCCAGGATCTGTGGCCCTTCCTGGCCCTGTCAGCTGCTCTGTTCTCTCCTAGGCTGGTGCTGGGGGGAGCGTCTGCGGGACGGGGAGCGGGGCTGGTTCCCCCAGGCCTGTGCCCGGCCCATCACGAGCCGCGTGGCCGCCGAGGGCAACGTGCGGCGCATGGAGCGGCTGCGCATCGAGACCGACGTGTAGGGACAGCCCCGAGCGACCCCTCTGCCTCAGGGACCCCCAGACCTCTGCAGACTGAGCCCACGGAGAGGAGGTGGCAGCAGAGCCTTTCTCCTTGAGCTGTGCTTGCCTCGGGTGGCAGCTGGGAGCAGCAGCTCGTCTGTGAGAGCTGGCGCCGGGCGCTCCTGGCAGCGCGGGCACCGGTGACCCGGGACAGGCTCCGGGAGCAGCTCAGGGTTTGCTCAGGTTGGAAAGCTGGAGCTGTTCTGGGCTCTGAAGTGCCCGTGCCACCGTCTCCATCCCTGCTGGAAGCTGGGCCAGCACCTGCTGCACACCTGGTGTGGGGAGAGCACGCCCCAGTCAGGCTTTGTTTGGAGCCTAAATCCATGTGCTTGCCTTATTCCTCAACCCAGTTTTCTCTTTTTTCTTTTTTTCCTGTTTCTCTTTTTTCTGTCTCTCTCCCCAGAAATAATTCTTGGGCCCTTGGGGGAGAGCCGTGCCCTGCACAGGTGAGGTGATGCCAGCCACCTTTGGGTTGCTGGATAAAATACTTGATGCCAGAGTTGTTCCCATGGAGTCATCTCTGGGGCCAGGAATGGGATGATGCTCCAGGCAGAGGGGGAAGCAGGGGCAGGATGAGGAGCAGTGCTGCAGCTCCCACCTGCCTTTCCCTCCTCCCAGCTGGGGAGGGGGCTCAGCCCCTCACACTCCATGCAGGGAACATGACAATTTTGGGGTGAGCCAGCCCAATAGACTGCCAACTTCACACTGACAGGAGCAGCGCTGATGTAAGGTCCGTTCTGATCAAAGTGTACAACTGTAAATTAATGTAACAATAAAATCTTGGATGCCAATGAACTCTGAGTGTCCCTGAGCATGACAGCTCCAAGGAGCCAGGTTGTTCCAACCATGAGCCCTAAAATGAAGGTTCATTCTGCTGGTGGCATTGCATGTTCTGACACAACACCTCCAGAAACAGCCTCCAGAGCCCCTGCCAGCCTGCTGTCACCTGGAGCAGCTGTCAGGTGCATTTGACCGAGACAGACAAGGTAAGTAAAAACTCAGCCAGGCTTTCTGTTTATTTCTTTTAACTGTGGAGAAAGTAACATTTTTCATCAGTGCTAAATTAAAGATCCAAGAAGGGCGACAGTACAAGAAAAGAGGAAGCAAACAAACTGGATTAAGAAATATGAACAGGAAGAGAACTTCATATAAAAATACAGGTACAGGGCTTGCTCTGAGCAGCCGCCAGGAGTCACGGAGCTGCAGCTGGAATGGGACAGGATGGATCCATGCCCATGTTTAAGGCTGTTCCCATGTTCTCCTGGAGCAGAGGCACAGCATCTCCACTGGCCTCCTCCTCCTCTTCCTCCTGTGCTGCTCCCAATCACTGGAACCTTCCTCTAATGCCCCAGGAGCTTCAAGGCAAAGGGGAGCCGAGGGATGATTGTCTGGAGGTCAGCAGCACCACTGGCAGCACTGACTGGGCTCATTTGGCACATGGACAAAATCTCCCTGCTCCCTGCTTCTCCAACATCCAACCTCATCAGCACGATTTTGGTCCTTCACTAGATACTTATATTAACATGATTTCTTCACAAGAATGATAGCTAATGTAAAAAAAAAAAAAATACTGTTAAGGAAGAAATAAAATAAGAAAGGAATTAGGCCAAAATGACAAGTTATATACAGATTAAAATAAATTCCATCAGGAAAAGAAACAATCCTTTTATTATTTTCAGTTGGCTGGCCCCTGTGGGAATAATTTAAAGGCCAAGTGCCTGGGCAGGGCTGTGCTGCAGCCTGTGGAGTGGGGATGGGATGGGATGGGATGGGATGGGATGGGATGGGATGGGATGGGATGGGATGGGATGGGATGGGATGGGATGGGATGGGATGGGATGGGGCAGGGCTGTCCCTCTTCTGCAGAGCTGGGGCTCCTCTGGCAGTGGCTTCACCTGCCCAGGAGCTTTGTGCAAACAGACAAAGGGGGCCCTGTGTCCTGGCCAGGGCGATGTGGTGACACTGGAGTGGTGACATTGGTGACATTCCCTGCTGCTGCAGGTGGCCAGGTCCTGACTACGACTGACATGGCAAAATAACTCAGGATTCAGGGCTGGGTGAGGCCATTCCAGCTGGGATTTGCATTGACCAGATGAACCAGTGCTTTGTCTCCATCCATGCAGAATCTCTGGCTTCCACACTCGATTCAGGCTTCCTTCTTCTTGGAGTAAGTGACACAGGCAGCACCATGGGCTGGCAAACTCCTGGTCCATGGGCTGGCAAATTCCTGGTCTATGGACTGACAAATTCCTGGTCCATGGGCTGACAAACTCCTGGTCCATGGGCTGACAAACTCCTGGCATGAGGAACTTCAGGCTCCTGAGAAACTTGTCCAGCACAGCCTGTTCTGTCAGGAGGCACCAGCTCTGTAGGTGAGCCCTGCGTGTTTTCCCCTAGCAAATGGTCACTTACAGTAAAACACCGTGGAAAATTCAAATTAAAAAAATAATTCAAGTGAGGTGGCACACCCACAGGAGGCCCAGTCTCGGGAGAGCCAGGCAATGTCAGCCATCAGTCCTGACAACACTGTGGTGCAGCTTCCCATAAATATTGATGCATAAATACCTGATTTGGACCACAATTTCAGCCCCCTCCCGAAGCCCAGCACCAAAATTTGAAAGCCAGCAATGTGTCACAAGCTGTCAAAGTCCACTGTCCCCTGACCAGAACTGATCCCTCCTGAACTGGTCCTGTGGTCTCTGGCCAAAGGCATGCACTGGTGTGGGCACACATGTCCTCACGGCCAGCCCGCGCTGGCACAGTGAACTGGTTATACTGGGAGCTTCAGCCTCACTCAGACCGCCCCAAAAGCAGCAGCTGGGGCTGTCAGGAGATGAGAGCTGCTCGTGTGGCTCATCAATGAGTTCATTACAGGTCATTGGCTTCTTCAGGTGGCTGCTTGGTGAAACCAAGGGGGTGCTCCCAGAGCAGGACCTACTTCTCGGCCGGCCGGAGCCCCTCCGGGGGTGGTGGTGGCCTGGTGGGTGGCAGGGACTGCATGGCTGGAAGGGAAAACAGGACAAGTCAGCCCTGCTGCAGGGGCAGACCCTCCACACCACTGCCCTGCCTGGGAGCACGTTCCCTCCCCATTCCCCTCCCCACTGGGAGCACTGGTCCCAGCCTGTGGGTTGGGGTCAGACCCTCCTGCGCCCTGCCCAGCACCCACAGGGGCACTCTGAGCCCACAGGTTTGGGCAGAGATGAGGAGTGTGGGAGTTTCACTGTGGCTGGTGCATGGGATCAACGTTCCAGCGTGCTCATCAGTGGGATTTGTGCCCTGGCTGTTCCAGGGGCACATTTGTGGCTAGGCTGCCAAACATCTTTGTTTCTGGCACTCCATACACCTCCCTCGTGGCTGCAGTGGCAGAAACAGGTCAGAGCAACTGAGGGCTTTGGAAGAGGAAGGTGCTACTCTACGTGAGTGGGCTGAGCTGATTTACTGCTCCCCAACCCCTGGCACAGGACCCACACCTGAGCACAGGACCCACACCTGAGCACAGGTCCAGCCTCCCCTCGGGTTCTGGGACCGCTGTCCCTTCCGTGCCCTCACCTTCCTGGCAGGTGGGTCCCGTGTGGCCGTCCAGGCACAGGCACTGCCCGTTCCGGGCGTTGCAGTAGGAGCTGGGGGCACACTGGCAGGGCAGGCGGCAGTCGGGGCCGAAGTGGGTGGGCTGGCAGTCTGCAGAGGGCACGGAGCTGCTCAGGCTGCTGCCCGCGGCACAGCGAGCAGGAAGGCTCAGAGCTTTCCCTGCTTCTGCTGGGTGCAGGGCAGGGCAGAGAGCTTTTTGCTGTGGTGACACAGGACACCAGAGCATCCCCAGGCCTCCAGGATGTCCCTTCAGCCTTTTGACCGTGTCAATCTGAACACATGGGCTCTGGAGGCTGCAGGAGAATTTCCATTCAGATCTGACTACCAACAGGGGCCAGAGAGGTGAGTGCCACTGCCTCTCTTGCTCTGTGAGGTGACACACACCAGAAAAAAGCCTCTCCCAGCTGTTGGAACTCAAAATGTCTCTCAGACATTTTTAGAGGTTTCAGGCCTCGGTCAGAAGCATTTTAGACCCCAGCAGGCAGCTGCAAACAGCTGTGATTTTGAGTTTGAGCCGTGGAATGAGTTACCAATTTTGGAGGTGGAACAAGCAGTCGCAAAGGGTTAGATAGGATAGTAAAAGTAGTTACAAAACAGAGGGAAATTTTTTTAGTATTGTACAGGGGGGTTTTAGCATCTGTACAGGGGTTTTTTTACTTTGTACATGGGGGTCAGAAGTTCTAAGATGGAGGAAAGTGGGCTGATCCTGTTCTTCCTCTTTCCTTTTCCTTGCCTCCATGTTCTTGGTGACGTTGGCACTCACAGATTGGTTTAGAGTAGAAAAGCACTTTGTAATATAGGTAGTAGGTATTGGGGGAAAACTATAAACTTGTAATACATAATATATCATATAAAATATAGCAGCAGCCCTGGGTGGGAGGGAGAAGAAGAAGACAGCAGACAGAGAGGATGTCAGGGTGTGTGTGTGCCTCTGCCTGAGCTGTGAGCAAACCACAGCAGCCCAAGAAGAAAATCTTTTAGATAACTTGGAATAAACTGCCTTGAGACCGAACAACAAGAGGCTGTGGAGTTTTTCTTCAGAAGCACGGGTTGGAGGAGAGACTTTAGCACCCCACGAGACCCCAGACCAAGCCCGGGTTTCTCACACCCAGCTTTCTGGGAGCAAACTCCCTGTCACACAGCACCCTTCCTCCCCTGCCCAGCCAGGCTCAGCTCACCTGCAGCACACGTGGGGCCGGTTTTGCCGGGGGGGCAGAGGCAGCGCCCCGTCACCGGGTCGCAGGGGACATCGCTGGGGCAGTCACAGAGCTGCTGGCACCCCTCGCCGTACGTCCCTTCCTTGCAGCCTGTGTGAGACACGGAATACAGCCCCTGGCCTGCATGCCCGGCCCTCGGGATGCCCCGGGAAGGGCGAGGAGGGTGGCGGTACCTGCGTGACAGCGCTCGCCCCGCAGCCCCGGGGGACAGCGGCAGCGCCCGGTGGCGGGGTCACAGCCCGCGCCGTGCCCGCAGGCACAGCGCTCCCGGCAGCCCTCTCCGTGGAATCCCGGCGGGCAGCCTGCCACGGGAGAAGCTCATCAGAGCTCTGAGCAGAGCCTCGGCCAGCCGGGCACGGAGGAGCAGAGAGCCCGACTTGTGCCCAGGCGTTTGCTCGGTGCCCAGCAGCTCTGGGCACTGTGGGTGTGAGTGCCTCGGGGGTCGCGAGGTCACACAGGGATCAGGAATCAGCTCTCTGCCTGGGAAGGGCTCGCTGCGAACCCTTGGGAAATGGAAAGCCTGAAACCTTGGGAAATGGGAAGCTGAACCCTTGGGAAGTGGAAAGCTGAACCCTTGGGAAATGGAAAGCCAAACCCTTGGGAAATGGGAAGCTGAACCCTTGGGAAATGGGAAGCTGAACCCTTGGGAATTGGAAAACCCAATCCCTTGGGAAATGGAAAGCCCGAACCCTTGGAAAATGGAAAGCCAAACCCTTGGGAAATGGAAAGCCAAACCCTTGGGAAATGGAAAGCCCGAACCCTTGGGAAATGGAAAGCCAAACCCTTGGGAAATGGGAAGCTGAACCCTTGGGAAATGGGAAGCTGAACCCTTGGGAAATGGGAAGCTGAACCCTTGTGAAATGGAAAGCCTGAACTCTTGGGAAATGGGAAGGCCGGCGGAGCGTGCTGCTGCTGTCACACCCGTGCCCTGCTCCCAGACGAGCTTTATTGACCCCCCACGCCCCAGGCTGGTGTCCCACTGCCACCACTCACTGTGCTCGCACAGGGGCCCGTAGTGGCCGGCGGGACAGCGGCAGGCGCCCGTGGCCGGGTGGCAGCTGGCGTTGTGCAGGCAGGGGCAGCGCAGCTGGCAGGCGGCACCGAAGCTTCCCGGAGGGCATTCTGCGGGCGGCACGGAGCGGAGCGCTGCTCAGCAGCCCCACAGAGGCTGTGCCAAGGCAGGGCTGGCACGGGTGGGACACAAAGCGGAGCCGGGATATGAGCTCGGATGGGACCCAGGCCAGGGTTACCTAATTCGCAGGATTTGCCCGTCCAGCCGGGTGCACAGGAGCAGGAGCCGTCGGTGGAGTCGCAGAGCCCCCCGTTCTGGCAGGAGCAGGGCTGCTGGCAGCCCAGCCCGTAGCGCTGCTGCTCACAACCTGCGGGGCACAGGGACCACGAGCAGAGATCTCAGGGCAAGGGAATCATTCCCTGCCCGGCACCTTTCCCAACAGCCCTGGTGTGCACACTTGCCTTGCTCACACCTGCGGCCAGCTCTGCCTGGAGGGCACACGCACTCTCCGGTGACAGGGTGACAGGGAACTCCGGTCCCACAGGGGCACAGCTCTGCACAGTCCTGCCCGTAGCGGCCAGCGGGGCAACCTGGAGGGAGGAAAACCTCGGTCAGGCCAAAGCAGGGCTGGGGAGGTGGGAAGGAGGAGAGGGAAAGTTTTGCACAGCACTGGAGCTGAGCGATGGGAGGAGAAGGAGCCTCCAGCCCTGCCCTGCTGTGCCATAGAATCGTGGAATGGTTTGGGTTGGAAGAGAGCTTAAAGATCATCTGTTTCCAACCCCCCTGCCATGGGCAGGGACACCTCCCACTAAGCCAGGTTGCTCCAAGCCCTGCCCAGCTGTGTACAGGGGGTTAGAACTCATTTTTCAGGTGTGACAAGTTGACACCCACCAGCTTTGGGTTCTTTTTGGGAAGGTAATCCCTGCCCTTTCCCAGCTTGGATTTCATGTGGCTCCCTCAGACTTCTTAGTCATCTTTGACAATTGATAACTGTGCAGATTTATCTCCTGGTGTGCACAAGCTGTCCTGCCCCAAAACCTGAGGCATGGTGTTTGCAGACAGCAGACACTCATCTGCAGGCTCCTCCCTGGGATGTAGCAGGAGGGCACTGCTGCCAGGACAGATGGACAAAGGGCACAGGGAGCTCTCCTCGGGACTCAGTCCTTGGTGTGCTGCTCATCCCTTTCTGCAGGCAGGGTCTGCATCTCCCACCTGGGGAGGCTCCCCTGCATTCCCAGCCCCTCTGGCTGGAGCAGCACTCACCGATGGAGCAGTCGGCGCCGATGAAGCCCGCCGGGCAGTGGCACATCCCCGTGGCACTGTCACACCGGCCCCCGTTCCTGCACCGGCACGGCCGCTCGCAGTCCCGGCCGTACCAGCCCGGGGAGCACTCTGAGGGGACAACAAACAGCGGCTACAAACACCAGGAGAAGGTCCAGACACCCTGGGAAAATCCACCAGGTGCATTGCATGGATGTTTCACCCAGGAGGAGGCAGAGAGCTCTGCCGGGAGCAGCCTGTGCCAGCCCCGAAGCACCCAGAACTCACACACACGCACAGATCCCTCCTGGCACCAGGATTTCAGGGTGGGACACCTGCACAGGGGATGCAGTGGGAGCAGAGCAGGACTCACCCAGCTGGCAGGCAGGACCGTGGAAGCCGGGGGGACAGACACAGGCCCCGGTGACAGGGTGACACTCCTGGGTGGCTCCGGCGCACTGGCAGATCTGAGCACAGCCCTGCCCGAAGGTCCCTGGCAGGCAGGCTGTGAAGAGACGGGGCACCAAGGTGGCTCAGGAGCCGTCCCACCCCTCTCTGCAAGGCTTTTTTTAAAACGTTTTATTTAAAGCCAGGATTTGGAGAGCCTTTTATGGCAGTAAAATTCTCCGCCACCCAAAAAGCAAAGGGACTCTCATGCAAAAGGTTCATTCACTCCAGGAAATACTTGGATTGAAAGGAAAGGCAAGTACTTAAAGGCATTAGATGCCTCTTGCTGTGCCAGCCTTTCCTGCCCTCACATTTCTGCAAGCTCCACACGCAGAGATGGCAAATCCAACACTGTCCTCTGTGTAAGGAACGTGCTCACACACCTCTGTCTCTTCCAGACTTGCTCATACCCACAGGAGCTCATTTTAATAGTGATTTATGGCTAATCCTCTGGATAAATACCCAGCTCTGATTTCCCACTTGGCTCCCTCTGCCCCGCTAACATTCCACAGGCATGCACCCAGCTGCCAGAATGGGAGTTTCTCCTTGGCACAGCTCTGCTCTTGGGCTGTTTTCCCTTCTTTATCTTTTTTCTCCCTTCTATTTTCTGTAGGAATTGCTCGGCCCATCCCATTCCCAGGTTCCCAGAGCATGCCAGCAGAGCTGCAAGAGGATCCTTGCCATCCCCCCCGTACGTTTTTCACACGCAGGGCCGGTCAGTCCTGGCGGGCAGCCGCACTGCCCGCTGACGTGGTGACAGGGCACTCCCGGGGGACAGCCACAGCGACTGGCACAGCTCCTCCCAAAGAAACCTGGCAGGCAGGCTGTGGGAAAACAAGCAGCAGGATGTCAGTCAGGCTTCTGCTGCTGGAGCTCTGGATGCTGAGAGTTTTAGACTTTGTGTGCTGACAGATCCCTGACCCCCAAGAGAACACTGAATTTAACCTGAGGCGGTGCAGAAGCTTCCAAAATGGAATGACAGAACTGGGATTGTGGGTGTGGAGTGTAATGCCACAGGGTGGAAAACTTACAGTTTGGGGTTTAAAGTAATAGATATATAAAGCAAAATGGAGGTTTTAGGGTGGAGGCTGATCCTTCTTTACCTTCTTCCTTCTTCTCCATGCGTTTGGGTGGTATTTTGTAATTGGACAGAAAAGTCCAATTGTGGACTCTGAGTGATCAGTTATGGGGCTAAAAATGAAAATAATTTAGGTGTAATTTCCTAATTGGACAGTTTAGCCTTAAAAGACCTTGTAGCAAGAGATATAACAAGGCCATTTTGTGCCTTGTTGGTGAAGAACTGCAGAACTCAGTGCTGTGAGACTGTAACACAGATATGAACAATAAACACCTTGAGTCTGAACACGAACCATTCTGTCAAGTGCCTTCAATCCTGACCTCGTCAGAGGGAAAAAGGAAGCTGAAAACAGGCATTCTGCCTGGATTTTAAGTTGTTGTTAATGCCTGGAAGGCATCAGAGCCTTCTCCATGGGACTTCTGCCCCAATGTCGAGCCAGCCCAGCAGCATCTTGTGTCACAGCCCCAAAATATTTTGCCACAACTTGTAATTCTCATTAAAAATGAAGTTTCCCTCTTCCCAGGCTCTGGAGCAGCAGATGTTTCCCTGGATTTCCCTCACCCAGGGGTGTTCCTCACCTTTCTCACAGCGCCGGCCCCTCCAGCCAGGGGGGCAGTCACAGGCACCAGTGATGTGGTGGCATGAGATGTTGTCCCCACAGTCACAGAGCTCCTCACAGCGTGCTCCAAACAGCCCCTCTGGACAAGCTTCAGGGATGAAAACACAGCAGAGAGGACATGTTGCACCAAAAAGTGACTTTTCAGCCCTTTTCCCCTATAGTTTCACAGTGTATTGGGTCTGTCTCTTGTGCACACACACATAGCTTGAAGAACAGCCATGGGGAGCTAACAGGACCCTAGCTTGGTTCTTTTTTTAAAAAAAACCCAACAACATAATTTCTACCTTTTGAGTGGGTTTCTTCATTAATTTTTATTGAAAGAAATTATAGAAGTGCTTTACACTGCCTGGTGCTCTGTCCTGTGTGGGGTTCTGGGAGCATGTGACAATGCTGGGCGGGGGCACTGTCCCTCAGGATGTGGCAGGATCCAGTGAGGTGATTTGTGTGGCCAAGCCTCAGCTGCCAGCAGAGCTGTTTACAGCCTCCTGAAGGGAAAAACATCCCCAGCAGGAAACCTGAGAGTGGCTGGTGGCAGCTGAGGCTCTGGTGGCAGCTCTGGTGGCAGCTCCCTTGTGCCAGATGTCAGCTGCCAAGTGCTGCCACTGGACTTCTCAGCCTGATTTAAGGACGTGCCAAGCTGAGGTGTCATGGCCCCAGAAGGGAAGAAGCTTGTGCATCTCTGCTTGGTGTGCTGATACGTGGTGAGGTTCCTGCTCTGAAGGCCAGAAGCTTTTTCAAACCCTTCCTCATGGGAAGGAGATTGCCAGGTGTTGGTTTTCTCAGCTTTTCTAAATATGGGCTAATTGAGAGGTGTTTTAAAAGATTTAATTCTGTTATCAATCGTTGACAGAGAGATTGAATTAGAAATAAGTTTTAAGAATTCTTTACAAATCCATTTCCCATGTGTCACATCCAAGGATACAGCAGACATGGAGCCACCAAGGGACAGATGCCATGGTCTGCTGGTTCTTGGGACCAAAGCCAGGCCCTGAGGGTCAGTGTGATACAAGGACACACAGAAGGAAGAATGGAAAGGGGATGATCCACTGTTACCCTTAAAATAATCATGGCAGAGCAAGGTCCTCCCTTGGCATTTTGGTTTCACCACGCTGGACTGCTGCCCTGCCTTCATCCCTGCTTGCAGCTGTGGTTTTGCACTGATGCCTGGGGGTCTGTGCCTTTGGGAACCCCATCCCCCTCCCACCAACAGGCTGCTCTGAGTGTGCACCAGCATTTTCAGGACAGCCTTCAGACAACAGGAACCAGGTGGGGTGGAACTGGATAATCTTTAAGGTCCCTTCCCACCCAAACCCCTCTGTGCTTCGATGGAAGGAGAAAGGGCACAGCAAAACTGGGGCACGGCCAAAACCACGGCACTGCCAGCTCCCTGCTTGCTGAAATGTGAATTTGATGTCTTTGCTGAAGCCCCCAGACCCTCCCTGTGCATGCCCACGCCAGCCCCACTCACGTTTCTCACACTTGTCGCCGGTCCAGCCGGGCTGGCAGAGGCAGCGCCCGGTGCGGCGCTCGCAGAGCCCCCCGTGCTGGCACTCACAGCGCTGCTGGCAGTCCAGACCGTGCTGTCCTTGGGCACAGGCTGCCAGGGGCACAGGGTGAGACACTGCCCTGGCACCCACCCTCCCAGCTCCCACCCTTCCCACCGACCCCTCGCACACCACCTCCAACCTCCGCAGGAAAACTGAGTTCTGGATGCTGAGAGTTTCGGGCTTGCTGTGCTGACAGGCACTGACCCCCAAGAGAACATTGAATTTAACCTAAGGCCATGGAGAAGGCTTCCAAAATTGATTGATAGCACTGGGATTGTGGGTGGGGAGTTGATTGGAAGTGTGTAATATCACAGGGTGGAAAACTTCTTCCTTCTTCTCCATGGGTTTGGGGTATTTTGTAAAGTCCATACTGCAGACTCTGAGTGAACAGTTATTGAGTTAAAAGTGAAAATAATTTTGGTGTCATTTCTTAATTAGATAGGTTGGCCTTAAACGACCTTGTAGCAAGAGACAGTTGGCCATTTTGTGCCTTGTTGGTGAAGAACTGCAGAACTCACTGCAGTGAGACTGTAACACAGACAAGAAACAATAAACACCTGAGTCTGAACGTGAACTATTGTCTCAAGTGCCTTCAATCCTGACCTTAACAGAGGTGAAAAAGGAAGCCCAAAAGCAGCAGAAAACCATTCCAAAGCAGGATGTGTGTGCCCCAGAGGTGTTCCCCGTTGTTTCCTCACCCAGCTCGCAGGCCAGCCCGGTCCAGCCCGCAGGGCAGGCACAGCCGCCCGTGGCCGGGTCGCAGGTGCCGCCGTTCTGGCAGAGGCAGCGCTGCTGGCAGCTCTTCCCAAAAAACCCCTCCGGGCAGGCTGAGGGAGAAACAGGACACACATCCCGCTCAGGACACAGCTCTGAGGGCTCGTGCCGTGCTGCCAGAGCCGTGGGTGGGTGGTCTGATACACAGCAAGGCGGATTTTGGTGTCAGAGGAGCCAATGACACCTTCTGGTTTGCCACCCGCTCAGGTGGGCAGCGTTCCTCGCCCACTTCCTCGCCCACCCCAAGGGATGGCATTGCTCCCCATGCTGGCAGGGGAAGCAGGTGGTGTGGCAAGGGTTACCTTGCTGGCACGAGGGTCCTGTCCACCCCTCGGAGCAGAGGCAGCGGCCGCTGACGTGGTCACAGGTGGCATTGTTGAAGCAGCTGCAGGTGTGGCTGCAGTTCTGGCCGTACTTGTTCTCCTGGCACGCTGCAGGGGAGCAGAGCAGGCAGGAATGGTGGGCACTGGGTGGGAATTACAGCAGCCAGGCTCCTGCCAACCCTCCCAAGGGCTGGGAGAGGATCTGTCAGTGGTGGTTGGCTGCTCTGTGAGGGGGTTTTGTGGTGTTACAGGGAAATAATGTGTCCTACAGGCCTGACATCCGAACACAGACACTGCTGCCATCACTGTTACATCCTTTATCTATTTGGAAACAGTTTTGCTGGATACCCAAACCCTCATTGCATTCAACCACAACATGCTCAGGCAGAGCCCCCAGAACCAAAATTAAATTCCACACAGAGAAAATCACAAGTGGGGAATGGACAACCCAGAACTCTGGTTCCCATGACCTGGCAGCAGAGACAGCCCTGGCTCCAGAGTGCCCATGGAGGGCAGGGTGGGCACCTCCCACAGACACCTGCCTGGGCACAGACACCTACCCTGGGCACAGCGGGCTCCAGTCCAGCCCGGGGGACACTGGCACTGTCCCGTCACAGGGTCACAGTGGGCACCATTCAGGCAGTCACAGGCTTGTCGACACTCCAGTCCATAAAATCCATCAGGGCAGGCTGTGTGAACAAAGGAGAAATCCACACAAAATGCAGAGCTGGAGCCCTCCCAGTGGGAAAAGGTGCCTGCCCCTTGGTGGGACAGTGGGACAGTGCTGCTAAGGGCAGCAGATATTGGATGCAAGTCCACTGTGGACATTGCAGGTACAGGAGAGGGCAGTGGTGGATCAGGAGAGTGATGGCTTGAGGTTCCTGACCACGGACAGGCTGCTGGGGGAGCTGGATCCCTGCATCCAGGGATCCTGTGTGCAACATGTACACACTCAGGCAACCATGGCAGCTATGCAACCACTGAGTCACTTATTATTTACATTTTAATAGTGGTTTTGTTTTTCCTTAGACCTTTTCCCTCCAGAAATAAAACCAGAGGCAGCAGCTTGCCAACTTGTTGCTCCCCCCATGACCATCCTGAGGAATTCTCTTTGCTGTAACGGGATAACAAAGTCAGACAGGGAGCACAAACCCTCTGGGGTGGAGCCTGGTGCCCAGGGCCAGGTACTCACCGTGCTCACAGAAGGTTCCTCTCCAGCCTGGGCTGCAGGTGCAGGCCCCGCTGACGTGGTCACAGGTGGCTCCGTTGTCACACTGACACTGGTGCTGGCAGCTCTGCCCAAACCACCCTTCAGGGCACTCTGAAAGAAAGGAGACTGAGGAATTTGTCCCTTCCTGGGTCCCAGAGAATCTATCCTAAGGCAAGGTGATTCTGAGTGGAATAAAAATATCTGGCAGCTGCTTTTTTTATAACAACCAGTGGGTTTTAACCCGCCCCTTACAGTGTGTACCCACATCTGTCACTATTAGACACAAAATGAGTACACAGAAGTTTGGTAAGTTCAAAAGAGAAAAAGAGTTAATTTTATTTCTGATTTGTAATATATAGAATTTCAAAAGTGACAGTGGATTGGAGGATGAAATTGCCACCTCTCCAACCACACTGGTTAAATTAACAGTCTATCAATTCTTTCTTCTTACAAAGAAGAATGTAAAGCCATCATTATTTACATGAACATTGTGTGAGAACTCCAGTAGAAATATGTAAACATGATCAGAAGGCTAAAGAAGTTTTATGGGTGTTACAGTGAGCTCATGGACACTCTGTGCTCCCTTCCCCAGGACCCTGTGACTCTGATCAGATAACCCTGGATCCTCCTTCCTGCCCCAAATGGGTTGGTGGAGAACCAGGGAAGCCCACCCTGTCCAAAGTCTGTATAGACCCCTGACATTTCCTGTTTGTGCTCTTTTGCCCCACTCTCCACATGGACACCACAGAATAAAGAGAGTTGAATCAATGAATATTAGGATAAGAGCCTCTTTTAGAAATATTTGCCATCTCCTGATATTCCTCCCCTCACAGCCTAGGACCTCTGAGCTAGCCTAATATTCAGGGGGCTGTGCAAGGGGGGGAATATCATATGAGAACTTTCAAACTTTCAAAAGAACTCTAAAAGAAAACTTAACACTTTTAAAAATCCGGGCTAAACACATCACCCAGCCACCCTGGGCACAGGATCAGCATGGCAGGCAGGGAGGGGGACTGGGCTGGGGCGATGCCTGTCCCTGGGAGCCCGGCAGGCCGGTGGGTGTGAGGAGGCAGGGCAGGGCAGCACTCACTCTGCTCGCAGCGGGTGCCCGTGTACCCGGCCTCGCACAGGCACTGCCCGCTCCGGGCGCTGCAGCTGCCGTCGCTGTTGCTGCAGTTGCAGGCGTGGGCACAGTCGGGGCCCCAGCGGCCCAGGTCACAGGCTGCAAAAACACAGCAGGAGCCCATCACCGGTGTGCGCCCCAGGGCACAGCGTGGGCACCGCGCTGCCCCGGCCAGCGGGCACAGCATCCCCTGGGCACAGGGACAGCTGGTGGAGCACCGCACAGACACGGCAAAGAACTTCAGAGAGATTTCCCTGGCAGGGGCACGGCATGAAGGCGAGAATGGGAGGTGGCAGCGTAGCTTGGCACGGGTCAGAGTGGCCCAGGAGCGAGGGGGCAGAGCAGGGGTGGTACCTCGCTGGCAGTGGTGCCCCGTCCAGCCGGGCGGGCAGCTGCACGCCCCCGTCACAGGGTGGCAATGTCCCTCGTTGCCACAGCTGCAGCTCAGCTGGCAGTCGGGGCCGAACCAGCCGGGTGGACACACTGCCAAGGGAAAAGGGAAAAAGGACTGCAGGTGGCTGCTGGAATCCCGGGTACCGTGGTGCTTCGGCAGAGCACCAGCAGCTCTGACACCCCGAGTGCAGTGCTGCACGGGACAAGGGGCTCAGCATTTTGCCTTCTTTTCTCCTGCTGCAGGAGTTGCTACAGTGGAGATGGGACCAGAGGGACTTTGAAGTCCCCAGGCTGCATCCCAATAAGTGAGGGCACGGAGATGTGCACAGAGCTCGGGGTGGCAGTGCCTGGTCGGTCACTGGGTGCTCCACTCACTGCAGCAGAAGGTCCAGCTCAGCTGAAGTCCACCCATTCCTGCTGGAGATGAGGAACCCACGCCAGGCTGCACTCACCATCCTGGCAGCGCTGGCCCGTGTAGCCAGCTGGGCACAGGCAGGCTCCGGTGGCGGGGTCACAGCTGGCGTTGTTGGCACAGGCTGGGCAGATCTCCTGGCAGCCCGGTCCCCAGAGACCCTCAGGGCAAGCTGGAGCGTGAGCAGACAGAGAACACACAGCACTGGGATCAGAGCCGAGGTGGCAGAGGGGAACCCTCCAGGCTCCCTCTCGCCGTCAGCGCTGCGCTCATGCGAGACGTGGATTTTGTTGGCAGCACCAGCGAGCACAGCGTGGCCCTGCCTGCTCCCTGTCTAAGAGCTGTTCTGAGCTCACTCCAGGATTTTCATGCCAATTTTGGATTTTCAGCCACTCGCAGGCAGCTCCAAGGGCTACTCAGTGAGAAATGGTGCTGCTGGCACAGGGACTCCACAGCTGCCGTCACACCATGGACAGCACATCAGTCACTGCCCCAGCACCTGCTGGGAGTTGCAAAGAAGGAGCAAAAGGCTAAACTGCTAAAACCAGGGCAAGAATCCTTCTCCAACTGGCCCTAAGCTGCCCCAGGGCCTGGAAAAAAGGCAGCTTGAAATGTATGGTAAGCACTGTGCACACGTAGTTTCATTGCTCAGCCAAAATTTTAGGAGCAGGACATCTCTATGTGACTAATACCTTCCAGCTGCTGCAATACTGCAGAATCATGCAAAAGCTTTCCATTTCGGACTCTCTAGTTTTCCAGCAGTTAAAGAGTAATCTGGTGAAGGCAATAAAAAACATGCCTGAATAAAGAAAGGCTCCTCTCCTACACTGAAGACTGCAACAACAAAAAATATCTTCATGTTTTTCATTGTGTTAAGACTCACCATCAAAATCAGCAATTTTTTCTCATTTTCCATAAAGATGATTCTAATGGCACTGGGTGTTTTTAAAATGAGTTTTAGTAAAAGAAAAGCAAGATGTCTACACCTAAATCCCTCCCTTTACACTGAAGCCCTGAGTGTTTGCACTGCTGCCCGTGCTCACCTTGGGCACAGTCGTGTCCTGTCCAGCCAGGTGGGCAGTGGCACTGCCCCGTGCTCCTGTCGCAGGGTGCTTCTCCACAGGCACAGGGATGCTGACAGCCTGGCCCAAATGTCCCCTCAGGGCACTCTGTGGGAGAACAGCAGGGTCAGAACATCCCCCCCAAGATATCCAAGAGAATTTTACCAACCTGGCCCTGCAGGCTGCAGGAGCCTCTGGGTCTGTGGAGGGTTCCCACAGCTGTGAGAGGTTCCCACCTGTGCTCGTGGTTTAGTGGGCATGGGGGTGTTTGCTCAGAGGTTGGGTTTGGTGATCTTGGAGGTCTTTTCCAACATCAGTGATTCTGTGAGCCTGGGTGTGACTCCTCTGTGAGCCACACTGGTCACCTCCAGCATTGCCACTGCTGCCCTGGTCTGTCTGCCTGTGTGTGTGCTTTCAACAAGTATTCCTTCCTGCAAGAGTGGCCGCTCACATCCCCAGAAACTGAGGCCAAACTGGTCTCCAGTCTTTGGACAAGGACGCTGCCCAAGCCATCCTGCTGTCTCTGGGCTGCAGTGCAGAGCACCAGGGTCACAGCCCCACACCAAACCACCCCTTGGCTTTTCCAAGATGCTCTGAGGGTTTTCACCTCCCTGGCTGAATGCCTCCAGGATCTGAGCACCAGGATTTTAAGAAGCAGCCAGGTTTGCAGCAGGACACAGACAGAAAGCAGGAAAGAAGGAACATCCTCATCCAGGGGAGGAATAAGTGCTTTTCCTTCCCTCCGCTCTGGATGCCAGCGTGGTTCTGCTGATCCCAGCTCGGTTTGATCTTTGTACCCCGTGCCACAATTCAGCAACCAGTCGGTGACATGCAAACTGAGGGCCCCAGACCAAAGATCCTTAAATCCTCCCTGAGTCCCCCACAAGAGCTCCATGCTGACCAAAGCCAATGTTCTGAAAAGCTTCAGCAGAGGGAACACACCGGCACTGACAAACCGCAGAGGAAACGCAGCGCCTCGATTTCCAGTGACACAGTGGAGTTTTTGTTATTCCTCCTCTTTGCTAATTGATGGCAGATGTTTGTCTTCACCCTTTAATAATTTCCAGATCCGAACAACAGCCAAGAGCCTACTATTTCTATACAAATATTTGTGTTATTTCCTGTGACTCCCCCCTACAGCCTTCAGCTCCTTTCTTACCCTTTTTAAAAATATCCTGAGCGGGAGCACCAAGCCTGACAAGGTTCCAGGGGCTCCAGGGGCCACAGCATCCCACCACGGGGGGCTCAGGGCTCTCAGACCCCGCCAGGGAGCACAGCCCTGCAGGAGCTGCTCCCACCTCTCCTTCCAGCACTATGGTAGCAATTGCATTGGGATTTTTGTGCTTTCTGCAGCTCTTGTCCTGACCAAACCCTCTCCGAGATGGGGCTCTGCACCACGACCCTTTGCTGGCAGATCAGTGAGGCTGATGGCTGCAACTTCTAGGCTGGGGAGAAGCAGTGCTTGGCTGAACATCAGTTAGCACAGAAATTCCCGGGATGCTCCAATCCAAATCCAGATGCTGGCCACTTCCAACCTCTCCATGCAGTGTCTTCTGCTGCTGCAGTCAGTCTGCAAGTGCCCAACTTTTGGGACTTTCTGCAGGACCTAACCAGCTGAAGTGGGTTCAGGAGGCCCCAGCCTCACAACAGCAGGAGTGGGTTGATTTTTCAGTCACCACTCAGCTCTGTGGTTGGCAGAACTTATTCTTTTCCAAACACTGTGTTCATATTTTGTAATCATCACCTTGGTCCAATGACTCACTGCCTTTAGGTTCTCTCAAAGCACCTTTGTCTGCTCAAAGTGAAGCTCTCTGGCACACAAACCACTCCCAGGATTTTAAAATCTGCACCCTCAGAGCCTGAGTGTTGGACACAGTCAGACATACACAGAGCTGGGTAGTTCAGTTACCATCCCATCATCTGGCCCTTCACGGGAAGAGCACAAAACTGCTCTAGGAGGTTCATACAGAGGCAGAAGTTTGAATTCTCTTGTAAATTAAATGTAAAATACTCTTTTGCACTTGCAAATTAAACAGAGTTTCAATAAAAAATAGAGAACAGAGCAGAAAATGTGATACTGGTGTGCTGGGCAGGGATTGCCTGGAAGGGAAAAGACATCAAGGCCAGGGAAGGATAATTAGATCCCAATCACCTCCACCAATCAACACAGAGATGTCCAGTGGCAGGGTGAAGAGACACCTTGTTCTCCTTTTCTGAATCAGGCTCATTTTATACCAGGAATTCTCTCTCCCACTTAAAAGAGTGTGTCACAGAGACCTGTGGATGGCAGCTCCTGTGTCCCCTGAAGTCTCTGTGGGCCACCCATCAGACCATCTGCAGTGGGCTGGGGCTCTCAGGGGACTCTGGAAGTGCTTTTGTGCCGTTTTGTGAAGCAAAATGGTGAGGACTGGTGATTTCCCAGCACACACAGAGCTGCCCTGCACGGCCCTGCCTCACCTTGGTCACAGTGCTCGCCGTGGTAGCCGGGGGGACACTCCTGGTGACACTCCCCGGTGACAGGGTCACAGGGCACTCCTGGAGAGCAGCTACACTTCTTCTTGCAGCCATCCCCATAGAACCCGGGGTCACAGCCTGTGAACAGCCATAGTTAGAGAGGAAGAAGCTCTGAAATGACTCCTTGCCCCTGGCAGAGCCTGGCCCTGGGTGCTGAGCAGCCTTCCAAGCTCCACCACCACTGTCACAGCTGTTCCACCACCACTGTCACAGCTGTCCCACCACTGTCATAGCTGTTCCACCACCACTGTCACAGCTGTCCCACCACTGTCACAGCTGTCCCACCACCACCACTGTCACAGCTGTCCCACCACCACCACTGTCACAGCTGTCCCACCACCACTGTCACAGCTGTCCTACCATTGTCACAGCTGTCCCACCACCACCACTGTCACAGCTGTCCCACCACCAGTCACAGCTGTTCCACCACCACTGTCACAGCTGTCCCACCACTGTCACAGCTGTCCCACCACCACTGTCACAGCTGTCCCCACAGAGCTTTCCCCCGAGGATATTAACAGGGAAAAGAGCCCATGGGAGGAGAAAGGGGGATGTTCTGGGGGTGCTTTGAGGGAACAGAAGGATACCAGTGTGTGAGTGTGGATCTGCTGGAGGGTGGGAGGGCTCTGCAGAGGGACCTGGACAGGCTGGATAGATGGGACACATCCAGGGATATGAGGTTTAACAGGACCAAGTGCCAGGTCCTGCACTTTGGCCACAACAACCCCTGCAGCACTGGGTTGGGGACAGAGGGGCTGGACAGCAGCCAGGCATGGAGGGACCTGCAGGGACTGAGGGACAGCAGGCTGGACATGAGCCAGCAGAGTGCCCAGGTGGCCAAGAAGACCAATGGCTCCTGGCCTGGATCAGGAATGGTGTGGCCAGCAGGAGCAGGGCAGTGATTCTTCCCCTGGGCTGGGCACTGGTTGGGCAGCACCTCGAGTGCTGTGTCCAGTTCTGGGTTCCCCAAATTAGGAAGGACATGGAGGGGCTGGAGTGTGTCCAGAGAAGGTTGGTGAGGGGTCTGGGACACCAATCCTGTGAGGAGCAGCTGAGGGAGCTGGGGTTGTTTATCCTGGAGAAAAGGAGGCTTGGGACAGACCTCATCACTCTCCAGAGCTCCCTGCCAGGAGGGTGCAGCCAGCTGGGCTCTGCTCCCAGGAACAGCAACAGAACGAGAGGACACAGCCTTCAGCTGCACCAGGAGAGGTTTAGGCTGGACATTAGGAAGAAATTCCTCACAGAAAGGGTGACTGGGAATTGGAACGAGCTGCTCAGGGAGGTGGTGACATCTCCACCCCTGGCGGTGTTCAAGAAAAGCCTGGACGTGGCACTCAGTGCCGTGGTCAGGGTGCCAAGGTGGTGTTGGGTCCCAGGTTGGGTTTGATGACCCCAGAGGCCTTTTCCAAGGCAGCTGGACGGGTGACCCTGTGCCTCACTCACTGTGCTGGCAGTGCTGGCCGTGGTAGCCGGGCTTGCAGCGGCAGGAGCCGTCCCTGGCGTCGCAGTCCCGCGAGTTGCGCTGCAGGCACCGGCACTCCTCCGAGCAGCCGGCCCCAAACACCCACCTGGGGCACGCTGCAGGGAGAGGAACAGCTGCTCAGCCAGGGGCAGAGCTCCCAGGCAGAAAAGCTGGGATCCAGGGGCAATCCAGGGGGAATCCGGGGGGAATCCAGGCTTACCCAGGTGGCAGAAGCGGCCGTACAGGCCGGGATCGCACAGACAGGCTCCGTAAATCCGGTGGCAGTGACCCCGGTTGGCACAGTTGCACTTTTTCCTGCAGTGCTTCCCGAAAAATCCCTTGGGGCACCCTAGTAACAGAGGAACAAAGAGAGGTTTCCTGGGAAGATGAGCCAGTTTCAGCAGGTTGATTTAATTGAGAGAAACACACCAGAACTGGAGCTGTGTGAGGGCAGGGATGCACCCAGGGCAGGGATGCACCCAGGACAGGGATGCACCCAGGACAGGGATCCACCCAGGCAGGGATGCACCCAGGCAGGGATGCACCCAGGCAGGGATGCACCCAGGGAAGGGATGCACCCAGGACAGGGATGCACCCAAGCAGGGATGCACCCAAGCAGGGATGCACCCAGGGGCAGAGCAATCAGATTCCCTGCACCAGTTCCAAATCAGCTGTCACAGGGGATGTCACTTGCTGCCACTTGTGGTGCTCCAGGGCACCCATCAGCTCTGCACTCAGTGAGACCAGCAACTCTGCTGGTTGGGATAGAAATAACCCACCCAAAGGGCTCTGAGAGGTCAAGGCTGTCCGCCGTGAGAAAGCAACCCATGTGGCTGCTCCTGTTGAAAAGCCACAGGGATATTTGCACTATTAAGTGAATAAAATTATTGTTTTTTCTCTGTTATGCTAAAGATCTCAGTATTGGAAGCACATGGCAGACCGGCTGTGTCAGCACAGTGCTCTGGCCAGCAGCTGCCCAGCAGCACGTGCCTCGTCCCTACGAACAGAGGAGCAGAGGAAATGCCACCTTGGGACAACAGAGCAATTCTGCATTGTTTATTTTCATTTTACCTTCCTGTTTTCTCTCTGTCCCCCTCAATCACCTCCTTCCTACAGAAAGAAGAGGTCGGGGTATCTCTTGTGTTCATTTGCATTCTGCTTCACTCTCCTCCTTCAGTAATAGCTCCCATATGCTCCCAACATGTGACTGAAGTCCTTTTGTCTGAATCTCTGATTGTCTCCCTCTTTCTGGTTTTCAAATTATGTCCCCCAAATTTTAACCCTTTGGGTGCAAGAAATGAGCACCACCAGCAGTGACACCTCCTTTGGGTACTTTGGGTAACTACTGCTGTCACAGCTTTCCAGTGCTTTGGGTGGTAAATCCCTCCATGGTTTCCATGGAAATTAACCATGGAAATCGTGGGTTTGACATTTCTTTCCTGTGTCTGCCACTGAATGTCCCATGAAATAGAGATCTCTGCCTCCAGTTGTGGATGAACAGTGAACAGAGACTTTGAGTGCAAAAGACAGAACACCTGGAGCACTGTTTTGTGGGGGAAGAGTGCTGGTTTAAAATGACATTATTCCACACAAGACTCAGTGGCTGATGCACTCAGATGGAGCAGGAATGTGTTCCAGCCCCTCTCACTGGGATGGTTCAACCAGAGACCTGAAAGATGCAGCTGATGAGCAGCTACAAAAGGACCAGTGTAGGAACCCCACAGGAAACAATTCCAGCCTTCAGAGAAGCACAACTGGGATATCTGAGAGCAGCACCAGCCATGGCCAGAACAGCATTTCTCCAATGATTGTTGCAGTGTGTTTTTACTCCTAATGGCACATTATGTTATTGCCCAAGGTAATGGTTTGGTCCAAATTGCACCTTCCACCCCACTGTCAATCCACCCTGAGTTCCCTGTCAATCCTACCTGGTGCCAACCCCCTGTTTGGAATTCCCCTGAAGTTCAATGTCCCATTAGTCCATGTGGCCCCAACCCCCTCCACTCCCCTCACTGGAAGATGCTTTTGTGAACCCTGTCCTTTACCCCTCCCCAGGACATCTCTGATTAGCTGCTGATTTATCCCCTGCCCTCAAACCACCCCCGTTTAAAAACCCTTACACACCTACCTCCTCTGTCTTTGCTCCCTGACCCTTCCATGGAATAAATCCTCTTGGAAAGCATTCTGAAGCCCTCTCCCTTATGCTTGCTCCTGCTCTGGACACTTTACAACCTGTGCTGTAGACTTTAAGCCCTACAGCTCTATCCCAGTGCTGCTTTCTGGGAACAGCCCACCCTCGGCCCAGGCTGGGGAAAACTCGGCAGTGCATCAAGCCATGGCAAACCTCTGCTGAGACACTGGCAGCAGGAAGGAGGAGGAGGACAGAGAGGGCGAGGGGAGGCTGGACTCACCGTCCTGGCAGAGCTCTCCAGCCACGCCGGGCGGGCAGCGGCAGGCGCCGGTGGCAGGCTCGCAGGTGCCGCCGTTCTGGCACCAGCAGCTCTGGCTGCAGTTGCTGCCGAAGGTGCCGGCCGGGCAAGCTGGGGATGGAGAGGGAGATGGGGCTCAGCCTGGCCACGGCCTCGCAGGGCTGCACAGCCCGGGGCAGAGGACAGAGCTGCACTCACTCTGGTTGCACAGCACGCCCGTCCAGCCGGGCGCGCAGAGGCAGCCGCTGCCCTCGGCGCCGCACGCCGCTCCGTTCTGGCAGTCGTCACAGGTCAGGCTGCAGTCGGGGCCAAACGTGTGCTCCAGGCACACTGCAACGAGAGGCAGCACGGGTGAGAGGCTCCCCGAGGCTGCTGCAGCACCCTGGGCAGCTTGGAGCCTCCCCATGTGGAGGCTGCAGCAGGGCTAAAGGCAGAAAAGGCACTCAACAGGCCTGGTGTGTTCACCAAACATATAAACCCAGCCTGCACCGTCATTCCCGAAGAGTCCCAGGCAAAGCACGGCACTGACCGCTGCTGCAAAATGCCCACCGAATTTCTCTGACAGCGTGTGCTCCCCTCGTGCTTCCAGCTCTTCCTCCTCTTCCTCGTAGTCATCGTTGAAGAGCTGGGTGAACTCGTCCCGCAGGATGGCCACGTGAGGGATGGGGCGGATGACAGGGCGCCGGCCATCCAGGGCCTCCACCGTGTCCTCGATGGCTGGGGAGCAGGGACAGAGGTGACAGCGTCACAGCGGGAACGAGACAGGGTCTCTGGGAGGTGAGCAGTGGGACAGGAGATCTGGGAGGTCTCTGAGATGTGAGCAGTGGGACAGGAGATCTGGGAGGTCTCTGAGATGTGAGCAGTGGGACAGGAGCTCTGTGAGGTCCATGGGAGGTGAGCAGTGGGACCGGAGCTCCATGAGGTCCATGGGAGGTGAGCAGTGGGACAGGAGCTGGTTCAGGAGCTCTGCAGCAGCAAAGGGAAACCAGAACTCTCTGTGGCTCTCAGGTTTGCAGCGCTGAGCTCGCCCTGTTTTGACACCTCTAAAACTTTCCCAGGTTGTTTGTTGGGGGATTTTTTGGCTAGAGAGGGCCCAGGTCAGGTATGTGAGCTCAAGATCTCTGTACTGCTACAAATAAATAATGTTCTTCCTTACAAGGAAGAGCTGTAGAGGCTGGGGAAGGGGCTCTGGCTCTGTGTTTACCATGGAGACAGGGTTTAACACTGCAGGCTGGGCAGCTGTCGGAGGTGTAGCTGTGCCAGAGCTCACTGCACTTCTTTGGACAGTGCTGTGAACAAGGCTGAAACAGGAGTGGTCCTGCCTGGGAAAGCTTTCCAGGGCTGGGCTGAGGCCCTGCCACTGCTCAGATGCTGTGAAGGAGATGAAGGAGATGAGGTGCAGGGCTAAGGAGCTCCAATCTGTGTGGCCCTGGCTCGGACAGGAGGCAGAGGAGGGACCCACTGCCCAGCTGAGGCAGCTTGGACGAGGCACTTACTGATGCAGCTCCTTCTGTCTTCATCCAGCTTGTGCCCAATGTCACAGCCACACTGGAACGACCCTGGCAGGTTCTGGCACGTGTGTTCACACCCACCGTTGTTTGCAGAGCACTCATCCACATCTACAAAACATGGGACACTCCAGTGGGACAGGAGCAGCGACAGGGGCCTGGCCATGCAGCAGTTATAGGCTGGTGGCATCCTCTCTGCTAAATATGTGAAGCCATCAGCTCTAAAAATGGAGTTAAACAACCTCAGGGATTAAGGATGCCTGGGTTTCAACAAAAAAATGTGCTGGGCTTCAGTTCCCATCCATTATTAATTGTGTAGGAACAGGTGGGTGTGTTTGGCTCTTTCCCCTGGGAAATGTTGAGAACTTTGGAAGTGAGAACAATTATTAGGGGGGTTTTTCCCCACATTCCTTCTGCTGAGAAGGTGACTCATCAGAAAGCTGGCAGGAAAACTGGTAGGAGCTGGGAGAAACTGGAAGAAATGCCTGGCTGTTCTCAACCAGGTAGGAGAATTTCCTGTTCTCCTAATTAAAAGCTTCATTAGTCACTATCTTGGCTGTTTTTTATACAGACACTGTTATTTGTCTTTATCCCTTGGGTGAAAGTGATGGGCAGTGTTGCCCTCTGGGGTTAAACATCAAATATTTTTTGGGAAATAATGGGGTCAGCTCACTCTGAGTTAGCCCAACCTGATCTTGATGTGTTCAAAAATCCCACTGCCCCTCTCCAGTTAGGCTGGGCTTAGCACAGGGGCTAGAACCGAGCTGCCCAAGACTAAACAAACTGAGGAGAGTGACAAGAGGCAAATTAGAAGTAGAGGGACCCATTCCCTGTGTGGGCCTGCCTGGTGCCCAGGGAGGTGCTGGCACTCACCATCACAGCCACAGCCGTCGGTGCTGAGCCTGTACCCGGCGTGGCAGGAGCACTCGTAGCCCCCAGGGTAGTTGTAGCAGTCTTGCTGACAACAGTGAGAACCCGTGTCACACTCATTGATATCTAAATGAGAAAAAAAAAAGGTGTTAATACACTGCAGAGTGGTGGCAGGGACTGGTAAACTGCTCCCTGACTAGTTCTGGGGAGCTTTCACTGATCTGCTGCCAAATGCTAAGCCAAAATTCTCGAGTTCCTCGTGAAACCAGGGAGCTTTGTGTTAACAGATCGTCCTCCCCACCGAGGGAGGAATCCTGAGTCCTTGAGGGGAGTTTATTGTGATTCCCAGCTGGGGATTGTGGTTACAGGTTTTCTGTCCTTACAAGCAGGATAACTTGTAATTTGACTGACTCCTGCTTAGGGCAGTGTCATCCGGGAAAAACTAATTAGTTTGGAAGTCATAATTACTGGCCAAGTCATAAGTGCTGTCCACATATATCCCGAGAGAAGCTTGGGGGTATCTTTGAGCAGAGCAATATTTCATCTGCTCTCACTTTCCATCACTCTCTAGCCTCTTTAGCCCATTTGAAGTGCACATACACAGTAACCAAGAGGGATCCTGACCAAAGATCCCAAGAGGGACCCTCATCTTTACCCAGGATGTGCTTGGAAATCAAGGTCTGGCCTTTTCCCGTTCCTTACCCGTGCACGACTTCTGGTCCTCTTCCAGCCTAAAGCCAAAGTTACAGGTGCAGACTGGGCCAGAGCTGGTGTGGTGGCACATGTGGGAACAGCCCCCGTTGTTGGTTTCACAGCTGTTCACAACCTCCATCTCTATCCCTGGAAAAGGCAGCCTGGTTAGGATCCCGTGGGACACATCCGCACACACCCTGCCTGCCCTCACCAGCTCCTGGCACTGCATCCCTGCTGAGGAGGGGGATCTGCAGTGGGAAAGGATGGAAATAGCTCAGCACAGAGGCCACTGCTGGGCTGGGAAGTGAGGTATAAAAAGAAACCTCTGGATCTCACGCAGCCTCTCAGGGACGGGGTTGTGGAGCAGGCTCTGGACAGTCTCTGGGACGAACAGGCTGCGGATCCAACTGCTCCCACTCCTGCCAAGCAGCAGCGTGTGCTGCCAGCCAAAAGTTGGCTCAGCCTCAGAGCAGAGCTGTTCTGGTGCCAGGCAGAAATGGGAGCAGCAGAACACAGCTAAGTAGGGAAACATCCAGATGCCTACAGCGAGAATCGTTAGCTCCTGACATGTCAAAAGCGGTCGGCGCAAACATCAATTGCAGCCATAGATCATCCCAGCTTGGCAACGGTTCTGTAAACTTGTCTAGTTAATTAAGCTTTCTTAAACTAAAAGGAACTTGTTTCATGGAACTTTGACTCAGTCCTGAACCTCAGGAAAACAATTTCTGCCTTCAAGAGCACTGAGTTTTTCGTGCATTCAGACCCAAGGAGGATGAAAGAAAGGGAGCTTGATGCTTCCCAATGGATCTGTGCTTGTCAAAAACAAAATCTCTGCTGCAGTGGAAGACTTTTTCCAGATTTCACAACGTGATTGTCATCCCTCTCTTCCCTTTTCTTATTAAAGCAGCACAAACAGGGTTTTGCTTAAAAGAAACGTGCTAGGAAGGGCAGGGAGAAACCTTTCATGTGGAAAGGCTGCTTTGCTGACCCCAGGGCAATGCCAGTGTCATGGTGTGAGATTGGCTGTGTCCCTAAGAAGAAGGCTGTGTACATACTTAGGCTCTTCAACCTCATGTCATCATCCTGCTGCCCCATATTGCTCTGTTTGATGCCTTTCAAGATCCATTTATGGCCTGCAAAGCCTTGCCCCTATCCTTGCCAAGCTCCAGCAGCTGCGCCAGGGGACCCTCACAGCTCCCAGTAACACCAGATGCAGCACTGGGACTGACACGGTGGCTGTCATCTGTGAGGGGCTGGTGGCTCTGGCTCAGCCTGGCCCTGCTGGGATGCACCAGCTGCATAAAGCTGTGAGGACAGTCCAGCTCACTCTTGCATCACAGAGTTTTATTTCTTCCCTCGATGGGAACAGATGTGATCCCTTCACTGGCTCAATTCCTCCAGTGACACATCTGCAGCTGACTGAGCTTGTCCAGAGAGTCCCCAAGAGCAGAACTTGGCTTATTTGAAGCCAAATGGCCCCAAATCAATTGTCTTAACCAGCTAAAGTGGCTTTGTGGTGACTTTAAAGATCAGACCGAGATTTTTATCTTGGTGGGGGAGTAAACAGCTCAAAAACTGCTTGTGAAATCCTTCAGCAGAGATTGCCACAGCTTGGTCCTGGTGATTCCCACAGGGCAGTGACAAACATGTGCCTGCAGCAGCCCAGGTGTGCTCTGTCCTGCTGGGCAGGGCTGAGTGTTGGAACCCTGGCTGCTGAGGATTTCAGATTTCTGTGCTGACAGGCACTGACCCCCAAGAGAACTCTGCACTGCCATGGAGAAGCTTCCAAAATGGAATGACAGAACTGGGATTGTGGGTGTGGAGTTTGAATAGGAGTGTGTGATATCACAGGGTGGAAAACTTAGAGTTTAAAGTTTTAGAATATAAAAATATATAAAAAGCAAGATGGAGGTTTTAGGGCGGAGACTGGTCCTTCTTCTTCTTCCTTCTTCACCTTCTTCCTCTCTTCACCTTCTTCTCTCCTTCTTCTTCTCCTTCTTCTCTTTCTTCTCCTTGTTCTTCACCTTCTTCTCCATAGGTTTGGGTGGTTTTGTGTAATTGGATAAAAAAATCTGCATTGCAGGCCACGGTTGGTTGGTTATTGGGTTAAAAGTGAAAATAATTTAGATGCAGGACATTTCTTAATTAGACAGTTTATCTCCCTTGTAGAGGGAGAGACACGGCTCCATTTTCAGATTGTTAGAGTGAAGTGCTGCAGAACTCAGGATCTGTGAGACTGTAACATGGATAAAAGATAAACATCTGTCCCAAGAAGAAATACCATCTCGTGCAGTTAATCCAAGCCTGGCAGAAGGAAATGAAGGCTGGAGAGCTGAGCCCGCAGTACTCACGGTAGCAGCGCTTGCCATCCGCCCCCAGCTCGTAGCCCGGGTTACAGGTGCACTTGAAGGAGCCCCGGGTGTTGAGGCACTGGTGTGCACACATGGCCAGCCCCGCCAGGCACTCGTTCACATCTGGGAGAAGGAGCAAGCCTAAGATAAGTAGGCTGAACTTTAAACATCCTTCCAAAGGACTATTGTTATGGTATTTGAGCTCTGCACTGGTTTCTTGCACCCTGAACTCTTCACTGGGGTCCAGACTAACAAAGACACAGAGGTAAGAGTTTGGAATTGCTGTAAAGCTTCCCAGGAGATGGGATCACATGACAGTGGGACATTCAGAGAATCACAAAATCAATTTGGCCTGAAAAGACCTTGGAGATCATCGAGTCCAACCTTTAACCTAAAACTACCTTGTTACCAGACCATGGCACTCAGTGCCACATCCAGTTAATTCTTAAAGAATAAAAGATGGTGACTCCACCACCTCATTGGACAGCCCATTCCAACGCCTGATCCCCCTTTTGGGGAAGAACTTCTCCCTGATTCCCAGCCTGAATTTCCCCTGGAGCAGCTCTGTTGTTGCAGACAGCTCGAGCAGAGCTCTTGCACGGACTCCACCTGAGCCGCCCAAGGGAAGGCGTGTGCTTCCCTGCACTCTGCTCCCACTGAGCACTCCCTCGCCCATCGGACACGGAGCTTTTCCTCCTGGGGAGCTCTGCAGGGCACTCACCTTCGCAGGCCTTGCCATCGGGGGCCAGCTGGTAGCCGGGGTGGCACTGGCAGCGGGCGCGGCCGCGGTGGCTGTGGCAGCGGTGCATGCAGCCCCCATTCCTGTCAGAGCATGGGTTCCTCACTGCAGGCAGAGCACAGGGCCCGGGTCAGCCCACACGGATCCTGCCTCCCGTGGCACTGCAGCAGAGCAGAGCACAGAGCAGCAGGAAAGCCTGCAGTCTGTGAAAGTCAGACAGAAAATCCCTGCTCCACCCGTTCGGGGGGATGTAGACGCTGTGAGGTCCTGCAGAAGGCTGGCATTAAGCTGGGTAAAACCCCTCCAGCAGAAGCTTGGCATGGGCACATCCCTCTGCAGAGATTACACAGCAAGTGCTGGCAATTTTCTCCAAGTGCTCCTACCCAGACGTTTGCCAATCTCTGACCTGCCCCAGGCCCAGGACAGATGCTCCAAACCCCACTGACTGCTGTGTTTGCAACATCCCAGTTGTTCCTTTTGCCATAGCAACTTCACAGCTCAGGATTTCCCTCCTTCCTGCCTTTTGAATGCCAACTTCCATGAATGAGAACAGCCTTGTGTTCTGTCCCCTTCAGCTTCTCTCCTTCCTGAGCCAGGAGCAGGTCAGCCAGAGAGGGAGAAGATCCCACCCCACTGCCACACACTGCTGTCCCTCCACTCCCACAGCAGCCTGTGCCTTCATACAATTTCATTTTTGTTGGCTACAACCCCTCCAGCTCATCCCATCCCTTGGAACAAGCCACAGGATATGTCCATGACAACAAAACACAGAGAGTTTTTACTGGAAATCCCCCAGTCTGATCTGCTGGACATCTGAGCATCCCCATCCCACAGCTCCCGGCTGGAATCCATGGCTCCCCAGCCGCCCAGGACTCACGGATGCAGCGTTTGCCATCCTCGTGCAGCTGGTGGTTGTGCCTGCACTGGCAGCGGTGCTGGGCCAGCGTCACCTGCACACAGTCGTGCTCGCAGCCGCCGTTGTTCAGGGCACACGAGTTCAGAGCTGCGAGGCAAAGGGACACGAGGTTTGGCACAGAAGGAGTTTGGGTGGCTCCTGGGGACACAGGGACACAGGTTTGGCACCTGTGTGGGTGAAGGGCAGACTGCACACTCTTAAAGCTCGTGTGAATCGATGACTGGAGCACATTCAGTGACAAGGTCATGGCTGACTTCATGAGCAAGGAGGGTGTTAAGGAGGAGCTTAAATCCAGTGGGGTTTGGTGCTGCAAAACCCTGTGGGCAGTGCAGGACAAACCACCCACCACTGTACCAGGCGGGCACCCTGCTCTTTCAAGGCAAGATCAGCTCAACGGTGTTAGGTAGAATAAATTATGGTGACCCCATCATCTCCTTGGACAGCCCATTCCAATGCCTCATCCCCCTTTCAGGGAAGAACTTTTCCCTAATGCCCAGCCTAAATCTCCCCTTAAAATGGTTCTTTCCCACCATAAGAGGCCCCAGCACTCTCCCTGAAGGTGATTCCAGGACACAGGGAGCTGGGTCAGTCCTGTCCAGCACTACATGGGAGGGAAGCAGGTTTCCTGTCAGGCATCCACCCTCTCCAAAGGGCGCTGTGTCAGCAGCCAGGCTCCTGTGCTGTTGCTGAAATTCCCATCCTTTATTCCAGGACAGTCCCTGCAGGTGCAGTGGCACAGCTGGTTTGAGCCATTACTGCTCAGAGAGCTGTGCTCAGGCACATGCAGGCTTTCCTGTAGCAAAAACTGAGTTTCTGGCTCCGTGATGTGCAGAAGTCACTGAGGCCCAGCAGGAGCTGCCAGTTGTGGGAACACTCAGGGAAAAATGTTTTAAGATCCATCCTGTGTGTCCATACCTGGACCAGTTGTAACAACCCCTCAGGGTTGGCCAGTATGGACACACAGGGCTCTGACCAGGAGATTTCTGTGTGGAACCTGGGGCACGTGGGGTCCCTGCTGCTGTGAGCAGTGGTGTCACCCCGAGCACACAGAGATCCAGCAGCAGGAGCTCTGATTTCATCCTCAGTGAAGGCAGGACTGGGAATTGAGCTTCCAAACTGGAGTTCCTGGCCATGCCACAGCTTTTCTGCGTGGACTTGTGCAAGGAACCTGGCGGGTTCCAAACAGTCAGGAAACAGAAGGTTTTGCCTGGGCTATGGTACAAAACAAACCCCATGACCATCTCTCCCCAGAATGATCCTTCAGGTGATCACAATGCCCTCCACAACCTCCAGAGCTTTGGAAGCAGGAGAGCCTGGAAAGCAGCTGCCAGCAGAAGTCTCTGCTTGGAGCACACCTCTGAATCCCAAGGCAAGTTGGGTCCTTGCTCTTGTACATTAGTAAACAAATATTTGGCTCAGGACAAAAGCTGGAGATCCTGGCCGTGCCACTGCTTTCCTGTGTGGCCTTGCACGAGGAGCCCAGCAGATTCCAAGCAGTCAGGAAACAGAAGGTCCTGCCTGGGCTACGGCACAAAACAGACCCTGTGACCCAACATGTGGACTCCTCCCAAGCCTGGGAACAGCCTCCTCCTGCTCCTCCTGTTCCTGTAATGTGGGATGTCCCTGCAGGATCAGCAGAGGATGGGATGTTTAACTGGGATGTGAGCACCTTGCAAGCAGCCAGGGCAATGTGTCAGAAGTTTTGTTTTTACTGCAGATCTCCAGGACCATTGGCTTCAGATCCAGGAGGAATTTGAGCTGGGAAACAAAACAAGGAAGGACTGTCTGGAGCTGGATTTGTGGACTCTGGTGGAGAAGTCATTGTGGGATAATGTCATGCCTCCAAAGCCATACAAGCTCCCCCTTGGAGCACTGGATGTCTCCTGAGTTAAACCACCCAACTCCTTATGCACTGGGCTTCTGCAAAGAGAGGTGCATCTTATGAGAATTGGGGAATTGGCCTTTAAACGCTGTTCTGTCTCTCAGGAGCCACCAAAGTGTCACAACCCACTGGGCTGGTGGCACATGGCTCAAGCTGGCCCCAGTCCATGTTGGAAACCCATCCCTGGCTCCCTTAAGCAGAGCAGAACGATGAGCTCTGCTCTCACACGTTTCTGACCTATTTTTCAAACTCCAGAATAAAGTAACGTGCTGGCTACGAGGAATCTTATAGGAAAGCTAAAAATATCTCTAATGAAAACCATCTCTCCCCAGAATGATCCTTAGGTGATCACAGTGCCCTCCACAACCTCCAGAGCTTTGGAAGCAGGAGAGCCTGGAAAGCAGCTGCCAGCAGAAGTCTCTGCTTGGAGCACACCTCTGAATCCCAAGGCAAGTTGGGTCCTTGTTCTTGTACATTAGTGAAAACAAATATTTGGCTCAGGACAAAAATAAAAGCAAAAAAAATATCTATTTTCATTTTTTTTCTGCCCACCCTTCCCCTGCAAAAAAAAAAAAAAAAAAAAAAAACCAGCAAAAAAACCAACTTTGACTCAGAGCTGAGGATCACTCTCATTCCAAATGTTAAAATAACTCAGCTTCTCATTTTATGCCTCTAATTAGCTAAACAACATTTGGGGGAATAAAAGCAGCTTGACAGGGTCAAGATTTTGCCATACAAAACATAAAGCTGGAGCAAGAACTCGGGGTTTATATTAGTTGTGCTGGCATTTTTTCCTTTAATCCATTTGGAAGGAAACAACAGAAATACTTAACGTTCCTGAAAAGCTCTGGGTCAGAGTTACACTACTCAAGCTCTAGCAGAGATGGGTGGTCATTTAAAAATATTCCAATATATTTTAAGTGTTTAATAACATATATTCCAAAATAGCCATAAATAATGTGCTTGTTGGAGCGCCTTTTTTAAAAATAAAAAAGAAAACAAGTCAAACAATGCTGATGCCTGCCAAAACATTCCTTCATCTGGGAAAAGCACTGGGCCAACATGGAACAAGCCAATGCATCTTATGTCTAAAATAACCACCCAGGATGCAGTTATTCAGATGAATTTGAAGTTTAAATAACGGCCTCCTTGCAAACTCCTACAACTGAAAAAAACCAAAAGTCTGGGTTCTTCCACACAATATTTCAGGAGAGCCCGTGTGAGGCTGGGTCTCCTCAGCTGGCTCCTCGCAGTCACAGCCAGCAGACCTCGCTGCTGGCCTTGTTTTAATTACTGCTCGGGGTTTTTATTCTGTTTACAGAACCACTCTAAAAATATTTCCATTCCCAGATGCTCTGCCGAGCTTAACATTTCTGTGACAAGGCTGCCAAGCCCAGTGTCATCCCGTACATCACACAGATTTTTGTAATTACAGCTCAGACAGATTTTCCACAGATGATATTTCAGTGTCTGAGAGAGGGAGGTTCCTTCCAGCCCCGCTGTCTGAGGGGAGTGCAGTGCTGCTGGAAGATGCTGCTCCCAGATTCTGACCCTCTCAGGCCTGGGAAATGGATCAAGAGGGATGCAAAGGAGGTTTTTGCTGCTGAGTGCACCTGGGAAATGGATCTGTGCAGCAGCAGCCTAACACAGGAGTTGATTTAATACCTGATCTCTGCACCCTCCAGCTGCCCTTCTGCCTTTTCCTCTCTCTTCTCACTCCTCCTCTTTCCTCTGTCTCACCTTTCCTTCAGAGACAAGTGATTTGCCTCCAGAAGCAGCAAGTTGATACCCCAGGAGTGACTGTGAGCAGCTGTAACAAGAACTGAGCAGGATGCTCCTTCTGCAGCATCACACAAACCCCCAGTGAGTCTAAGAAAAGGCTGAAAAATGTGTGACTGGGCAAAGAAAAAGTCAAATTCCCTAAAATGTGCAAGCTGTCTGCAAAATGAAAAGCCCCACCAAGCACACGTGGTCCCTGCACACACAGTTCAAGCCCACACAAACCTTCTGACATGGTCCTTCTGTTCATTATTCACCCCTATCACTGAGATTTCTTCATTTGAAGTTCTCCTAATATAAACAGGGATCCATCATGTAATCCCAAACTGATTTATCCTAACCTCAGACAACTCCCAGAAACATGTTGTGTGTTAATCCAGACCATCTCCCTGCTCCTCAGGCCAACACAAGCAATTGGCTCCCATTAAACCCCTCTGCCTCAGCCTGGCCTGCATCCCTCTGCTGAAAGAGTGGAGAAGGACCTGGAGATGTCAGCTTCCTGCCTCCTGCCCATGTGGTTCTGATAAAGAAAGAGGTAATTTCAGGACGCCCAAGGCCTCTCTTTGTTCTGTTTCGTTCCTTTTCTCCCTCTCTCAGCAGCGATTTGGACAAAGACACAACAAGAGGATCCTGCACAATGGAGCTGCTGAGCACCAGCTGAGAGCTGGACACAGGAAAGGGATTTTAAGTCATTTTTGTGCCCTCCTGAGTCACAGCCCCAGGTACCAGCTAACCCTGGAAAGCTGCCTCGGCCACGCCGGCACGTTGTGGGGGAATTGTGGAGCTCCAGCTCAGCGCTGCCGACCCACCATCGGAGCCTTTGTGGGTTTTGTGGGGACCAGAAAGCATTTAAAGAATGAGATCCATGATCTGACAGCCCTTAACGAGAAACTTGACTAGAGAGGCCTCTTTCTGTACCCAGAACAATCTCACTGGGGCTGTCAGGAGCTTCCTACTGCCCAAATTTGTGATTGTCCCAGCGTGGAGCTGCGAGCTTCCCTCAGCAGAAGGACAAGGATGGATGGATGATGGATGGACAGATGGATGGAGGGATGGATGGATGGATGGATGGATGGATGGATGGATGGATGGATGGATGGAATGGATGGATGGATGGATCATGGATGGATGGATGGATGGATGGATGGATGGATGGATGGATGGA